AGTTTGGATGACCATGTTTGGCTTTTTTGCTATTTCTTCAAAATAGGGATGACCCTGAAGGAGCTCCTTGAGAGCATGAACAGAGTTCACTTTCTGGTGGTAGGTTTTGTACCTGATAGACTGAATTGGTTGCTCCTTCACTTACTTTATTTTTAAAAATTGAGATAAAATTGAAATACATTGAAATGCATATAGATCTGGGTGCCTGGGTGGCTCAGTCGGTTAAGCGTCTGCTGCCTTCTGCTCAGGTCGTGATCATGGAGTCCTGGGATCAAACCCTGAGTTGGGCTCCCTGCTCAGCAGGGAGTCTGCTTCTTCCTCTGCCACCCCTACTCCCCCACTCCCGCTCGTGTTTGTGCTCTCTCTCTTTCTCTTTCAAATAAAAAAAATAAAATCTTAAAAAAAAAAGAAATGCATACAGATCTTAAGTGTACCATTTGAGTTTTGGTAAATGTATATACATCCATGTAATCACCACCTGAATTGAGATGTCAAATGTGACCCAGAAAGCTCCCTTGTGCACCTTTGCAGTTAATTCCACCCCCTATGGTGAATCCTAACATCATTAATTATTATTGCCTATTCTTGAGCTTCATTTAAATGGCATCATATAGTATGTGCTCCTTCATGTCTAGCTTCTTCTGCATAGTATAATGTTTTGGAGATTCATATATCTCATTTTAGCAGTAGTTTGTGCCCTTTTTATTGATGACTAGTATTCCCTTGTATAGATATACCACAATCTGTTTATCCATTCACATACTGAAGGATATTTGTGGTTTCCATTTTTTGGCGATTATGAATAATGCTGTTTAGAAACATTGATGTATAACTCTTTGTGTGGATATCTATTTTCATTTCTCTTGGATAGGTAGCCAGAAGTGGGATTGACTGTATATTTAACTTTATAAGAAAATGTCAGACTCTTTTTCAGAGTGGTTGTGTCATTTTCTATTTCCACCAGCAATATGAAGAATACCAGCTGTTTCCCATCTTCACAACAGGTGGTATCAGCAGTCTCTTAAAGTTTAGCTACTTGCCGATAATTTTGAGTACTCCTCTGTGCCTTGAAGAATAGATTATTCATTTTATGCTCATCACATGGAATATTCTCCTAACTCCTCAGTTTTTCAATTTTACCTATGTTTTAGGTCAGTGTTTCCTGACACAAAATATACATGAGAATTACCTGGGAGTCTTTCCAAATAACCCAGGTCTCACTGAAGACACACTGTACCAGCAGCTTTCTCAGGGATTGTTCATGGGCTCAATATGTATGTTGGAAAAGTTCCCCGGGTAATTCCGATTTCTATTCCTAGCTAAAAACCACTGCTTCGAGGCTCAAGTCCTACCTGTGATAACAGAGGTTCTTTATCCTGGGTACACATCAGCAGGATCTGGGGAGCTTTCAATACTCACCAGTGCCAGGATTCCAGCCTGCCCCGATGGAGTTGGAATCTGGGGGTGGGGCCTGAGTGTCAACTGTTTTTTAAAATTTCCCCATCATTCTAATGTGTAGCCACATTTCCCATTGGATTTCTTTCTGTCTTCTCTTGTAGCATTTATACCTTTTTATTTTTATATTATAATACTTTTTCATGTCTTATCTCCTGTCTTAGGCATTATGTTCCTAGCCTTTCTCATTTCTGTGTCTTTCATGGAGTCTGTCACCCACATTTGTAGCACAGTAGGTGCTCAATAAGCATTTCACGAACATATGGATTGGTCATCAGAAACAGATCGCGGTCACAGGTAGGTTGTGTCCTGAGTCTCAGAGTCCCCATCCTCCCCGGGGTTGGAGTTGTGATGACCAGTAGGGGTAACTCCTCTGTGAGATAACAGAACCTTGCCCTGTTTGGTATTTGTTTTCAGGCATATCACTCGGACTAAGAATTATATGTATATATGGGGTACAGCAGCAGGGTTGGGTAAGGAGACAGATCTAATTAGAATGGAGGAGTTATACTAGAGTTGTGGTAAAGAAGGTAAGAAATATTAGTAAAGAGGAAGAAATTTGATCTTACCTGATAGGCCAGGGTAGGCCACTACAGACCCTTGAACAGGAGAGTGAACCAGTTTTTAGGAAGATAGTGAGGCAAGAGTGAGCAAGAAAGATTTTAATAGAGAGACCAGAGACAAAGAGTCAGGCTGTACCTCCAGCAGTTATTGAGGGCCTGGGTTGTTTAGGGTCACGGGAATCGACAGAACAATGTACTGAGAGGTGTTAAAGGACCATCAGGTTTTGTGATGTATCGCATCTGGGAAACCGGAGAGCAATGCGGAGGAAACAGTGGTAGTGTGGAAAGATGTGGAAAGAGAGGAGTGAGCTGCCGGGTAGGGCTGTGGGGGTGGGGATGGGGGGTGCAATTTAAATAAGGAGGAATTTCAGAAGGTGTTTGGATGTCAGTGTCAGGAGTTCTGGGAAGAAGTAGGGGCTGGAGATACAGATGCAGGAACCATCTGCAGAGAGGCTATCGACTCTATGGAAGAGGATCGTGTGCAAGTATCCAGTCCGGGTCTCACTACTAAATCTGGTGTGGGGCGTGACGCACAGGTCAGGGGTGGAAGGAGGAGAATGTCCAAGGAGGAAAATTTGTCCGTGGTCTTAGACATTGTAAAAGCAAACAACGTGAGGATGGTGAAAATATCTTTGAATTGGGCTAAGGACGGATACTGACTTTCTGCTGCACCTAGCGGTCTTGGGTGTGGAGGCGCCACTGCACAGGGGCCAGGAAAAACCAGGTGACAAGGACAGGGGACGCAGCACACGTGCTTCTATGGCTTGGAAATGAAGGAGATGAGAGAATAGGCTAGTACTTAGTGGGATTAATAAATGAAGGGTATTTAGGTTAGAATACCCTAGAGAAGGGTCTGTGTGACTGGACCTGTGGAGGCTCTGAGCCCAAGCTGTACTGCTGCATCTGATTCACCAGAGCCACCCGTGCAGGAAGCGTCACTTGTCCCTAATAAAGAGGCCTGGAGATCTTTTACTCATGAAATCATGTCTCTCAGAAGAAAATAGGCAGTTTCTTCCAAGCAGGTTGAAGCTATGGCCTGTCATTTCTAGATAGACTCACTTGTCAGCAGGCATGCAAATGACTTTAGCTAATTTTCTGATCACTGGATCAAATATCTGTAGACTTAGGCTCATTCTGACTCCCAGTTCAGCAAGTTCTCTTTCTTCTGCCTGTAAAGAAGATTTTGTCTAAAGCAGTATCAACCGTGAGGCAGCATGTTCATGTTGACTTTATAATTTTTATTATAAATATAGAGCAGATTTTACAAATAATTCAGAAGTAGCCCTAGCCAGACAAAATTAAATAACACAGAATAGCATGGATGAGGGGAAGTATATACAGACTGTGTCAGGGTTAGAAAACCCTTGAAAGAGGTTCCTGAGTATAGAGAATTCCCAACTTGCCCTCTTTGAGGGGCCTCAGACACAGCATGACATCAAGTAATCAATATCGAATAAAACCCCTTTCTCAACAACCCCAAAGAGACTGTGTAGAAGGAGGCTGGGTGGGAAGTATGTTGCCTCTCCTTCTTCTGCCCTTCCTTTCTATTCTGCACACTGGGGCTCATAGACCCCCATGGGAGAAAACATTTCAGAGGTTGTTCAAGACACCTCCAACCCAGTTATCACCCTCCCCTGTCCTAACACCCCTCACAGCCCTGGTTCCCCAGGAGCATCAGCACCAGGGCAGCTTTCCAGGGGGTAAGCAATGCCAACAGGGGTGTGAGTGTGTTCCCTTCAGGGCACCCCCACTTCTCAAGGACCAGTGGAAACTTGGCAGAGGCCAGGTCTCCTAGAAAGTGAGTGGGGCAGACACCATGCACAGCAGAGACGTGGAAAGCAATGGTGGATGAAGACTGGACTGAGATGCCGGGAAACTGAGTTAGACCCATTCCTAGCCACGAAGGAGGAAAACTGCTGCTGCTGCTTTTCTTTTTTGGAGCCCCCGACATAAACACCTTGAGGAGCTCCTGGCCAAGGGCAATTGTGGGGTCTTGGTGGCTTCTTCCACTGAAGGCAGTCAGGTTGTCTTACCTAGCTAAGTAGATATAGCCCCTTTCACATAAACAAGCAGTTGCAAAAACTAGAATGTCAGAATATCTCAGGGAAAGAAACTAATACACCAAACTGCGTTAACAATTTTTTAAATAATCTCTGAAGGGTAGCTCTCTGACTCCTTTCCCAAATTCCCAGCTGATTATCTCTACTAAGAGCTGACTGCTCCCTGAAGCTATAAGCCCGCCTTCTGTGGGCATCTCCTTGAATAATAAAATTATGAAACATACCTGCATTTTTTTTTCTTTTGCATTTTCCTTTAGGAATCACCTGTAGACCTCAGCGAATAATTTTCCTAACTGCTTCTAGTGGGTTCTCTGAAGACAGGCTTGTCAAATGGCTTAGGTGGCTTTCTAGTTAAGCAGCAAGGTGTTTAGGCCCTGGTAGACAACTCTGACAGTAGACAAAGGTGTCGAATTTGGTTCAGCATCGCCATTCAGCATATTTGTTTTCCTGTGCAGGGTGGGGTTCACACGGGGCTTTGGAGAGATAGAAGTTTTTACTTTTACTTCTTCTCTCTTTTCTTTTCTGGCACATGCATTTCAGTGGATCAGGAGAGGACTCTCAAGGTTATGGTAAATTCAAGTTAGACTCCAACAGGACAGGACTGGGGCAGGAAGGAATGACTGTGCTCTGAATAGGTAAGTTTAAAACAAGGGAAGGAGGAGGGGCAGAGGTTGTGGCAACTTCCCAAGGTCTGCTTTGCCAAATTTCAATGACAAGGAGGGTTGGGTTTCCTAGAATCCCAGATGTACCTTTTCATCTATTGACACTAAAGGGAGGGGCTGTGACCAGGCAGCCCGGAGGTGCCTTGTTAGGGAGTGAGGTGGGGAAAGAGGCTTCTTCCCCTTTTCCCTGAGGGTAAAGGGATCTCATAGTGACGTGGACGAGAAGCTTGGAAAGAGCACAGTGAGCAGGACAGGTTGTGTTACATCTTTCGTACTTCTGTATACACCGTTTCTGTGGCTGCTGGGGATGGGGAGGCCGAAGTTGATTTCGTTGATTCCTGGGCACTGAAGTTCAGGGAAGAATATGCAACTTCTTCACCCTGAAAGGCATGAGCGGTGTGGTCAGTTAAATCAGAGGCATAGGTCAGGCCCTCACCTTGTGTGCTGTCATTCAGCACCATGTGCTCTCACCACTTTGAAACTGATGGCTTTGGAGAAGGGTTTTTATTAGCCACGATTACTCTGCTTGCTAACATCCTGTTGAGTGATCATTAGAAGAGATAGATTATAGTATTTATTCATACTGGAATGCAGTGATACAGCGTCCGAGAACGGACAATCTACAAATGCATAGGAGGACATGCATGAATCTCACAAAACAATTTTGAATGAAAGAAGCTAGACACACACAAGGATGTACTATGTATCCCATTATGTAACAGTGTAAACAGACAAAAGTAGTGCGTTGGAAGTCAGGATAGTGGTTACTCTTTGGAAGGAAGTAACCTGAGCGGGTGGGGAGGACAGGTTTTATTTCTTGACCTGGGTGCCTTTTCTGTTCAACTCGTGAAAATTTATACATCGTTAAAATATATTTATGATTTAAGCACTTTTTGGTATATATGTATATTCTACTGAAAGGTCGAGAAAAATTTGGTTAAATTATGGGAAAGTAAAGGAACCAAGATCTCAGAACCATTAGAATGGACATCATCCTTTGTTGGTAAGAGCAGGGTCAGTAAAGGTAGAGGAGGGAGAACCATGTGGTGCCTTATGCTGGTCACTGTGCTGGGTGCTTTCCATTGGTCGTCTCATTTGATTTCTTCAACTTCTCTTTGAAGTAGGCAGCATGCCCATTTTACAGATGGCAAAGCCGCGGCTCAAAGAGCTTACGTTACTTGTCCAAGGTCACAGAGCTATTGAGAGTCACAGCCAGGATTTAAACACAGGATGGGGTTAATTCCAAAGTCCGCATTCTTGTACTGAGGTAGAGTCATTAACCAGTAATCCTTTGTTTGTTGCTGCATTGAGGAATTTTGACCCAAACTTGATCTCACATTTGTATCTTCAAGAATAACCCATTCTACACAGAGATACTTCCATGAGAAAATCAGCCATTGAAACTAGTTGTGCTTACCTTGTTAGACAAATTGTCAGAATGGTCCTGACCTGGGGAAACAAAAGCAGAGTTCCCAATCCATGAAAATGCAAAGCTCATTTACGGCCTTAGAATGGGGGTTGGCAGGTGAGAGCAAGGGTGGGGAGGTGGGTCCTAAACTGTTGTGGTTTCTAGCTGAAGGAGGTGGCAGTTGGCGGGAGGATGGGGTAAGGAAGTGGCCTATGAACGCTTGAGGAATTCACTTTCCTCAGAGTTGGGGTCCAGACCCAGGGCATTGGTACCAGAGGAGGGGTAAGAGTAGAGCCACAGGAGACCTCAGTCCACTTCCGACAATTTCTTCCAGTTCACAAGGTCTTGATTTTCACCCAGATGTATTTCTCAGCAACAGGCTTCAGTGGCAAGAAGGGACACTGAGGCCCACAGTACCCAGAGCACCACAAGACAGGGAAAGTCTCACCAAAGGAGAATGCCCACATCCATCATAGAGGCAGGAAGGGAAGGAGTATGGGCAAGGAAATGACTCCTGGAAACAGGTCCATCCTTGCTCAGGCCTGCTTGGCCCAGGCAGTGAATGTTTCTCCCAGGGCTGTGTCTCGGGGGAATCTTTTGTGGCTAGAAGGGTGTGAGGACCTATGCCAACCTAAGGTTGGGAAATGGAGATCCCCTTCCAAAAATTCAGAAGGTAGGAAGTAGTTTGGGAATCCAGGATTCCCTGTTAGGGCAGGGCACATGGTGGAACACACCAGGTCTCACTGGGTGAGTGGCTTTACTTACTGTGGTTGGAGGCTGAGGGTTTGTGCTCTGTGACATCACGCAGGTCACTTGCCCTAAATAAATATCAGACACTGTGACTGCCATTCCCAAGCATAGGATCTTTGGTCCTTGAATTAGGAAGGACACTGTCAGCAGGTAATTCCTTGGGGTTCCTCAGTGTTCATTTATACCGTGGTTGGTACTGCCTTTCCTCTTAGGGCCTCCTCCTTCAGTCTACCCACAATCTCCTCTAGGATTTGTTCCTTTCCTGTTTGCTGGATGTCCACATGTGGGTCCATTGTTTATCAATTGCATCTGAGCCTCCTTGTACCCTGACACCTTTCCCCTTCTGTAGGTAGATGCTGGTTTTTGTCTCACTTTACTTATTGTCCAAGAGGCCTTTGGTTGTTTTTTGCCTTTTCTTAGGTTCTCTTCCTCTCTCCTACGACTGTTCAAAAGAGCACACGACTCACTTTCTCCTGCTCCTCCTTTCATTTCCTCATTTTTTTCCTTCTGGGACCTTGTCTTCCCCGACTGGGAGACAGAAACATAGGGGGATGGGAATAACTGTGTCCAAGAGAGAGTGGGGTCCAGGAAGCATGAAGAAGAGATCCACAGGAATTAGTGCTGAGAAGCAAGGGTTTAGAAAGAAGGAGGAGCAGATCCAGGTGCAGAGACAGGGGCAAAGTCTCCTTCCCTCTCCCAAGCATGGCAGTTAGCCTTGGAGAAAGCGGAACAAGAGGAAAGGTCATCATACCCGTCAGTCTTCCTGATAAACAGAAAGTACACCAGGGCTGCTATCACAGCAACCCCAGCCAGGACTCCAGTCACGATGCCCGCAATAGCCCCAGGTGGGAGGCCAGAATCTGGTTGCATTCTATCATCTGTCATGGAAAGAAGAGAGAAGAATGAATGAAGGTGACATTATTTTACAGTGGGGATCCCCTGGGGGACAACTCTCAACGTGTAGTAGTCTCTACTTGTTCCTTCAAGGAATACATTTTCTGTGGGAAGGTTGCTGTGAGGTGATTAGCTGACTTCATCCTTCAATTTTTTCTCTCATTGTATTTTTAGGCTGGTGATCAGACTTGCCTCAATTCTCTCCTGGCCTTTCGGCACTCAGATATTTTTGAAGGCTTTGGAAATGTGAGAAAGGCTGATTGCTATTTTTCTATAACTTCCCACCTTCTCATGGTTGCATGTTTTTCTGTGTGCCAGCTGTGGCAGCCATGAATATGCGCCTCTCAGGTCTCTTGTGGTGAGGACATAAGTGATGGAAGGCCTGGAGAGTGCATTTTGAATTCACCATCTCCTTTGCACAGAGACCACACTTCCCACAGAAAGGGGGAAGGGATATGAAATAAGCCCAATTCTATGAGAAATCGTTTTCCTCTTAAGGGTGACTTGAGCTCAAGGACCCCTCCCCCCCGTCACCTTGCAGACAGACACCCTTGTAGAACTGCACTTCGATCTAAAACTTTCTTCTGTCACATCTGCACGACAGTCTGAGGAACCTCCCAGGCTCCTCCCATTCCTGTCTTACCTTCACAGGCATTTTTCCTAATAAATAAATAAATATTCTTCCCAATAAATATAAATAAATAAGTAATCCCACTTTGGCTGCATCTCAGGGGATAAAAACTAACATACTAGGCTTAAAACTTTGTATTCGACTCCTTTTTTTCCTTTCCCGTGTTCAGTCAGTAACTATGTCCCAATGACTAATATCATTTGCATCTGTTTCTTCTTTTTTATTTCTGTTGCCCTCACCAGCCAACTCAAGCCTGATGTATTAATATTTTTTTAAAGGTTTATTTATTTATTTGAGAGAGAAAGAATGAGACAGAGAGAGCATGAGAGGGGG